TTATGGAGGTTTACTCGTGACCATGGGAATGCACTAGTTCGGAAGATTACTAAAGTTTGGACTGGCAAATTTGATGCTCCCTACTATAGCTTTACTTTGGTGCATGTGGACAGAAGAGAGAGATACTTTCTCGAATTCGCGGTACTGTTTTCTTTCTCTGTCTTTATCCTTCTAATATAGAGTACTTTTCTTGTTTTTAATATCACTTACAATTCTTTTTTTTTTTGTAGAAAACACACCACTGGGATCCCTTGATAACAGGCACCGAGCAATAATATTTTGAGGATATATGTCAGCGCCGGATGAAAGATATGGTTAGCGGAGCGAGGACAGGTCGAGAGCGACCTCCATGGATTGGTGACACTCTCTGGGAAACAATGTGCACCTACTGGGACACTGAAGAAGCGAAGAAGAGGAGTAAAACATATTCAAAAGCTCGCAAGTCTGACCGTGGCGGACTTGGTCCTCACGTTCATTTCTCAGGCCCTAAGTCGTTTCAACAAATCAAAGATGAAATGGTCAGTGACTTCATATATCTGTTATTTATTTATCTTTTCATTATGACTGGTTAACACATGTTATTTGGTTACAATGCAGGAAGAGCAACTGGGAAGAGCGATCAGTCTTGGTGAGGTTTTCATCAAGACCCATACTAGGCCAGATGGTACGTATGTTGATCGGAAGGCGGAGAAAATAGCAACAACTTACCAGCAGAATTTGGAACTGAGGTTGTCTCTGCTAGAGGCAGATGCTTCGAGTGTTTCAGATGGCGAGTCACGTCCCCGGGAGCTCACAGCAGACGGAACCGAGTAGATTGAAACTATTTCGATCAATCTATCTAAAAAACAACGTTATAGTATTTGAAACTATTTCGATCAATCTAATTTTTTTTTTTTAAAACCAAACTTACAGATTGACTATCGGCTTTTGGATCAAATATTAGTTGAAACAAATATTACTTAAATGGTGCAAGATTAACTTATAATTTGTGTATGAATTTGTATTGCCCATTCATTCATATGCACATATTACTATGGTTGTCTATAATTCACATATAAATTGACCGTTTACTTGAAAATACTATGCAATTCTCCACCGACTTAAGTTCTCCACCAATGACACTTGGAATCATACACGAACCACTTTAAATAAGGTAGTGTGACAAAAAGGGGTCTGGTTTGCTCACGCCACACCGAAATACTCCGTCTATATTTGGTTAGCAGTTCAATATAGGCTTTCAACAGGTGATATAATGGTCCAGTTGAAATGAGGGGTGGGGGGGGGGAGGGGGGAAGCGGAATGTGTTTTTTCGTGTGTTTTTAAAACTTTTTATGTATGATATTAATGAATTTAGGATTTTAAAACACTATTTCCGGATATTCGCAGATACGAATACGGATATCTTAAAAAAACCGGATATCCGCTATGTTTACAGTACAAACGTTGTGTTATTAAATGCTTAAAGATCAATCGACGTTTTGTGGGCATCCACAACTACTTCAAATTTATGTGGGGGGAGGTGGGGGAGGGGGTCGGGGGAATGTGTTTTTTCGTGTGTTTTTAAAACTTTTTATGTATGATATTAATGAATTTAGTATTTTAAAACACTATTCCGGTTATTCGTGGATACGGATACAGATATCCGCTATGTTTACAGTACAAACGTTGGGTTATTAAATGCTTAAAGATCAATCGACGTTTTGTGGGCATCCACAATTACTTCAAATTTATGTGGACAAAGATTACATTAGACTACATCTTTTGATATTTTCTCTTGAGTGGTAAGAATCTCTGTTCAAAAAATCTCTGCCTAATCTGATTATTCCCCGTTTAATTGCTAGATCCACCCTATCCGCCTCGATTAGTGACTATTCTTCTAAAGAAATTAGTTACCCGATTACTTTCCGCCTAGCGAAAGTAATCCCTGGAATATATACCCCATTCCGTCCAGCCAAGGGGAACGCTTTTCCGATGAACCATCTAATTCACCATCTTAACTTTAACCACACACTCTTGAGCTCCATAATGGTTCTCCAACAACCAGGACCTAACTCCATAATACATGGAAGCTTCTGCAAGGTTCAACTCAAACCGAGCTCATTTTCCCAACCAACAATACAACTTGCCATTGTTTTCTCTATGCCAAACTGTCTCGGAAACATATAAATATAACAAGAACAAACCGTAAAAACAAAATCCCACTGTTGATTATCTAGCCCGCAATACCATGCACGACTCCATAAATTGGCAGCTCGATCGGACATCGTTACAACCTCCAAACGATGCCCACAATAACCAATCTTGAAACTGTTCTTGTTCCATGAAACTGTTCTTGTTCCATAAAACACTTGGGTTATTAAATTCTTAAAGATCAATCGACGTTTTGTGGGCATCCACAACTACTTCAAATTTATGGACAAAGATTACATTAGACTACATCTTTTGATATTTTCTCTTGAGTGGTAAGAATCTCTGTTCGAAAAATCTCTGCCTAATCTGATTATCCTCCGTTTAATTGCTAGACCCATCCTATGCGCCTCGATTAGTGACTATTCTTCTAAAGAAATTAGTTACCCGATTACTTTCCGCCTAGCGAAAGTAATCCCTGGAATATATACCCCATTCCGTCCAGCCAAAGGGAACGCTTTTCCGATGAACCATCTAATTCACCATCTTAACTTTAACCACACACTCTTGAGCTCCATAACGGTTCTCCAACAACCAGGACCTAACTCCATAATACATGGAAGTTTCTGCAAGGTTCAACTCAAACCGAGCTCATTTTCCCAACCAACAATACAACTTGCCATTGTTTTCTCTATGCCAAACTGTCTCGGAAACATATAAATATAACAAGAACAAACCGTAAAAACGAAATCCCACCGTTGATTATCTAGCCCGCAATACCATGAACGACTCCATAAATTGGCAAGCCTTCAAAATTCGCCCATCCAACTGCTTTTATCTCCATCTTCCCTTCACTTTCTTTCTCTTCTTCCCCACACCCAAACCGAAATCAACCCTCTCTCTTCTTCTCACCACCATCTATATCACCAAAGTACACTTATATTTTTGGTCAACTGTCCTGAGAGAACTCTACAGTTAAGCGTGCTTGAGCTGGGAAAGTTTCAGGATGGGTGACCTTCCGGAAAGTGATTATCAGTCCTGATCTAAGACATCGGTAATGCTGAGGAAAGCGGCGAAGCTAGGTGGAGAAAGCCGGTTGAGTTTTAAGCAGTGGCCCTCTCTTCGAGTGATCGGTGGTCTGTGCAGTGTGTGCTCCTTTGGATTTATGTGGCTCTTATGAGTTAACGGGGTTTTTTTTTTGGCATTTCTTTGGTTTATTTTCTTAGTTTTATGAGAAGTTTTTTAAAGTTTTTATGACGTTAGTGTTTGCCTTTATAAAGAAGACATACACGATTATAAATCTCGACCTCTCCACATAATTTAGTTGTCCTATTATTTTCTCACTAAAAACGCATACAATGTGGACTGGAGATCGTAAGTGACCTTCAGTATCTTGACAACAAATCTATATTGGTGATCGGAGCTACTGGCTTCTTAGGAAAGAGTACTGATCTATATCTCTCTGTATAATTGTCTTTAGATATATTGGCAATAACGCTTCTTAAAATTTTGTAACGTCCATTAATTAGTTTTAATTTTTTACAAGGGGTATTTGCTAACAAATCCTTTGAATTAATTATACGAGAGTCAATTTCATAAAGAGGATGAAAGCAATATCAGCATTTTATTAATGGTTCTTGACATTGAAGCAGCTGGATCGACATGTGTTCAAAAATAAAATAAAAACTTTTTTGTTTATCAAGAAGATATACACTAAACTTCAAATAAATATTGTTTTTTTTTTCTTTTGAAATTTGTAATAAGTATTGTTAGTTGTTCTTAACTTTTATGTTAGCTTTCTTTTAACTTGTATGCAGTTTTTGTGGAGAAGATACTAAGGTTGCACCAAACTTGAGGAAACTATATCTTCTTCTTAGAGCATCAGACGAAAAATCTGCTACTGAGAGGTTCAACAAAGAGGTTTAATATCCACTTTTTACTACAATTTGCTAATTACTTTGATTAACTAGACCAAACACCTTGTTATTCAAAATTAAATATTGCTAGAAATATTTTAAAATTGTAATGTACCTACATTTAAATAATATTGCTTCAGTATGAATATTGAAAATGATACTTCGAGTTTTTAGGAGCTTATGTCCAAATATTGTAAATAAATATAAGTACCGATGCTAATTAATAGAAATGTTATAACCTTGAATTGTTCCAAATGTCTGTAGATTTTGGGAAAGGACTTGTTTTGAGGTGGTGGAGAAAAAGTATGTGATCACTATTGTGAATGGAGACATTTTCCTTGATGATTTGGGCCTTTATCATCAAGACTCCGAGTTGGAACATCAGATGGTCCACCAAGTAAATTAATACTATTATAACCAAATTTTATTCTTCTCAAAATTTAAGAAAAGAAAAAATAAATTATAAGTGAATTTTCTAACAATGTGAAACTTAAAAAATGTTAAATTAATCACATATGTACCACTTGGGATCAACACATTGGGAGCTACCAAAGCCCCGAATTTTGCCAAGAGATATCCTAAAGTATAAGTCTTTGTTCATGTTTCCACATGTATAAACACACACTCACACAAAATTGACAAATAATTAATTTTTTTGAAAAAACTTAGCCAGCTTCAAGCCACCTGAGCCTTGACCGAGACCATCACACAAGCTATGAAGGATTCGGACTCACTAGGTGATCCCTAGTTACATTTTAGTGTTGCTATCTACTTCATCTATTAAAATTCATAATTTCTTGAATATAAAATAGGGTAAAAATGTACGGATGGCCAAACACATACGTGTTCACGAAAGCAATGGGAGAAATGTTGGTAGGTGCAAAAAGGTAAAATATGTCGGTGGTGATAATTCGTCCTTCGACTATTACCAGCACTTTCAAAGAACCGTTCTCAAGTTGGACCGAGAAAATCAGGTAAAATATGAAAAAAAAATTAACTGATTAATATCAAATTATTAACTAGTGAAGTAACAACACTTTAATTTATATATAGGACTGTGGATAGTCTAGCTGTTGGGTATGGTACAGCAAAACTCACATGTTTCCTTGGTGATCTTAACGCTATTTCAGATGTCGTATCTACTTTCATCTTTCTACATACACATTTGTGATTTTTTGTATAAGATTATAGTGTCCGCATAGAGAAACTGCATAAATATATTACTGAATTGTTTTATAATTATTTGATGGACTAGATTCTTGCAGACATGGTAGTCAATGCGATGCTAGTATCAATGGCTGTTCGGGCTGGTAGACAGAAAGAGATGATTTATCATGTGAGTTCTTTAATGAAAAATCTATTAAAATGAGATAATGCCGGAGATATCATACATGTATTTCTCAAACAAACCATGGACCAACAAAGAAGGGATGGTGATTCGGGTAAATAAAATAAAGTTTTTGAGTTCTATGCCTATAGTTTTCATAGGTACATGACCATTCATTACTTACTTCCTTTGAAGGTAGTATTTCGAACCATCTGTCATGTGGTGAACTTATATTTTAAGACAAGGGTCCAGGAGATGGGACTATATAGCAAAAGGGTAAACTGGACATGGTTAGAGTTATTATGGATCCTAAAGAGGAAGCAAAATTCACTGTTAGCAAGCTTATACTTGGAGAATTGTGGCTGAAAGCAAGCAGAGTTCCGTACGAAAAGGACTATGATGATATTGTTCCTCTTATGCTAATTTACTATGTATGAGTTAACGTACTTAAGAAAAATGTATTATCTACCAAATTCTCTATTATTCGTCTATTATTCCTCTACCTCTAAACTACCAAAAAAAAACTTATAATATAGAAAATTAATGGGATAATAAGAAGTTTAGATCTCAGTCAGTTGGTAACAATACCAATATACCATGTGCTACATATTTCAAATCTAAAGAAAGGAAAATTATCTAATTTGTTGTCATAATGCTGGTCAAATCAAAACTAAATTATTTTCTTACTAATTAAAATGGTCAACTAATCAACAAAAAAAATATTGAACAGTTTGACATATTGCTAATAAATTAAATCATTTTAGTATGGTATATAATCTATTAGTATTTAATTTTGAAGATATTTTATAGCCTATATATAAATCTCACTTAAGTTCCAAAAAACATAGAACAAGAAAAATGGTTGCTTACATCGATAAAAACTTTTCACCAGCTTGTTTACTGGTTTTACTTCTTTTTGTTGTCTCATCATATGCAAAGTTTAGTACCATGGTTACAACATATGAGATCCACACTTTATGCACCAAACCAGCTGTAAAATCTTCATTGTGTTTTGAGGTTCTAAAAGCAACTCCTGAAATTGCTAGACTAGATTTTTCTGGTCTCGCCAAATATTTGATCAATTATCATGCTCAAAATATTTTGGATACGCTGAAGCAATTTAAATTATCAAGAGGCTATATACCGGATATTAATTCTGAATATCGCTTATGTAAAGAATTATATAAAGATGCTCTCGACAAATGTCCTTATGCCCTCAAATATTTGGCTGCCAAAGACTATTACAACTTCAAAATTATGGTAGCTCAAACGATGGGAGATATGAATAATTGTATTTATGATGATTTGTCAACAATGAAGCCAGTACCACAATTTTTCATAACGAAAACTAATGATATTCAAGAAATTGGTAACCTTATCATAGTATTTGTCGATTGTTTCATACTAAATGAACCAAGATACTGTATTAATTCTCGCAATCTATAATTATAATAATATTTAGTATGGTTCTTGTCTTTATCCCGAAAAAAGTAATAAAGATGTAAGAATTTGAATTATGATTTTATCCTTCTCATTTATGTTTCGAAAATAGCAAATGCACCCTACGATAATCAATCCAAGGGCTAGTTCAATCTAGTTAGATTCTCAAACCATTTTGCTACTTTAACATTTTGACAGTATCGTCAATTTTATTCATTTATTGTAGACAGTGGCGGAGGTAGAAATTTATGTTATGGGGGTCAAAAAAATTTTTTATCGTTATAAGATAATACACTAAAAACTTTAATATTTTTTTTGGTGTTTTGTAAAAATTGAAATAATATTAGGTGAGTATTTCTTTTATTTAAAGTTAATTATGGGTCTAAAATTTTAGTGAAAATCAAACTTTCAAATATTTAAACTATTTTTTCTTTCAAGTTGCAATATTAATTTTGTATTGGGGTCAAAATTTATTATAAGTTGGGGTCATTAGAATTATTGCTAATGACATATAATGGATTTTTAAAAATTCATGGGGGTCAACTGACCCCCCTATCAAACCTCTGGCTCCGCCACTGATTGTAGATATTTATAAGAATCTAAAAATCTTTTTTACCCCGTAAGCACCGGTTAATCCCCGCCTACACCATTTAAGTGCTAGACTACCTAACAATTACACCTTTCGTTTCAATGAGTTTATCGAATAGAACTAATAACTGCTCACTTTCTTACATGCATAATGCTTTTTCTTTATTCTAAAACATGAATACGCACAGTTATTAGTAATATTAAGATATCAATATTACACTAGCTATTACTGTCACAACCAACCAGCGGCAGAGACATAATTAATAAACTATAAGATAAGGAATCACACAAATTAAAACATTGAAAGCATGAAAACAAGAGTAGAGATTCTAGTATCTAAAAGCATCACAATCATGGTTACGTGTTGAATCTATGAGTACGCTCCCGCGTGTACAACGTTGTTGTAATGGTCGTCTTTGTTTAGGGATTTTTTAGTCCCTTACTTGTATTATACATGTGTGCTTAATTAGATTTTGTTTTCTTTAACATATTTCCGTGTATGTTGTGCAAGATGCAAAACATCTCTTTACGTAATTAAGTTTCCTTTCAATCTCATGTCATTAAGCTTTTTCAAAATGTGAACGTATTGAAGATTCTTTAAATCCTTTAACAAAGGGAAAAAGATTCCTTAAAACAAAAAAGGTTGGAACAATAAAAAAGATTGACAAAAAATATTCCAATATTGGTTTTAACAAGTGGTAATACTTCATATATAGTAGAGGAAAGGTTGGTCATGACCATCGAGAAACATGTAGACCAGGCCATGTGATGTAATTTGAAGATGATAATTCGGTCATATTCAACATATTAACAATGAGCAGAGCATGTGATTTTTTTTGGGTATGTATAGGTTGGACAGAGCATCTGAGGTGTTACGTTGAGTAGAAAACATGAATTTGACGTAACGAAAAGAAGGACAAGAAAATGTGAGATAGTGATTAATCATAGCAACTCTGATTGTAACATTCGTGTCCGATGGTCGGTCCGCTATGTACGGGAGACTTTAAAACTTGTTTACCGATCCTAAAAATCACCACATGATATTTTCTTGTGTTTTGTCTTCATTCACACACTTCCGACAATGGCTTCTGGAATGTCACCCATCCTGAAATTGCTCCAGCTGAAGCACCCTTAACTGTGGAGTTCTCTCAGGACAGTTGACCAAAAAGAGAAGTGTCTTTTGGTGACATAGGTGGCCAAATTAATTCTTTTAAACTTCTATGCATGCACCACCATATTCCTGAAACTGGGGTGTTACAATTCACCCCCACTAACAGATCGCAACGTCCTCCTTGCGGACCAAGACCGTCACCCCCGACGTTGTGAGCCCTCTTGACTCCACATTCGCCTAGGTTTGGCTCTGATACCACTTATAACGCCCCGACCGCCATCTCTTTTAATAGGCCCCACATCCTCTTTTGGCCCGTAAGCCCACCATCTTCCAATGGTCGATATGCTATGTCTGGGAAGCTTTAAAAACTTGTTAACGACCCTACAAATCACCACATGATTTTTTCCCGTGTTTTGTCCTCACGCACACAGTTCTGATAACCACTTCTCGGAAGGTCACTCATCCTGAAATTGCTCCAGCTCAAGCACTCTTAACTGTGAAGTTCTCTCAGTATGGTTGACCGAAAAGATAAGTGCCCTTTGGTGACATAAATGGCCAAATTAATTCTTTTAAACCTCTCTGCATACACCACCATATTCCTGAAACCAGGGTGTTACACTGATACAATATAGATCTATCCTCATAATTTAGAAGCTCTTCTATTTTTTATTTAAAATATGTAATTTAAATTATGTAATAGGACAACGTTATTTAGAAGCTCTTACATAGACCTATATATTGGGATGAGAGTTTACAAATATAAGAAATGAAGAATAATGTATGGTTTCAAGATTTAGAGTTCAAGGAAATAATGTTGCTTTTAATTTCTCTCATAAGCTCTTGTCACTAATACGTTTACAAAAGGATGTGGGAGGGGTCTAGGACTAATCCTTGAAGAAAGGGTATCCCACAAGTAGGGTTCTTCCAGATTTTCAAATGGACCGTAAGCAATGGGCTTATATCCGCTGACCAAAGAGATAAAGCTGAGCAATTCTGCGTTTTAGGGAGAATTGTAACAACCCTCTCCACAATTGTGGGCTTTTATTGTTTTAGCTTTAGGATTAAGTCCATGTGATTGCCTGATTGGTAAGCCACAAAAACGTCAAGGCCTAGTCATTGTTGGCACATGTATATGTAAATATGTATGCATCTCCCTCTCCGTTAAGATAAAAAAAACCCTTGCCGCTTTTGCCGAGAGAAATAATTGTCATGAGTCTTTGGCTCTTTGCTATCGCCGTTATCGTCTTGTTCGTGTCTCTTCCACCACTGATATTGTTGTATTTTCTCAGCGGCCACGTTGCCTTGGTCGGAGAAGAAGAGAAATATGGGAAGAAATTGGTTGTGACGGAGAAATTGGAAGCGAAGATGGAGGAGACATCACGGATCTTAACCGTTCAACCCCGGAACCAATGGCAATGGAGACGAGATCATTCCACAATGACGCCAAATCACTGATGAGTCTATTTCGTAGCCAAGTAGAGATGGTGGTATTGAGATCAGTTGAAGGGAAGAAAAAGAAACAAGAAGAAGGGAAAAGAGGAAGCAGGAAGAACAGTTTCAAGAGGGTGTTTTGAAGGGAGAATTCTCGTCATACCAGAGAGAATCAGATGACAAGTAAGACATCTCTGGAAATATCTCGTTGCCATAAATCTACAGCAACTGACGGAGTTTGAATCGGGGTTATATTCCATAAGTTATTTGCATTGCTTTCCGTGCAAGAAACCACTTAATCTGTTAAAAACTGGTAAGCATAGAACCCTAGAAAACAGATCTGACGCATCATATTTAGGAGAACGTGGGTGTTTCATCTAATGTCCGATCTGACTGGAATTGGTGTAGATCTTCATGATACTACTGGCTGCATATTTAACGGTGGGATTAAGTTTCTAACGGTTAGAATTTGATTTATATATATGTTTCCAAGATATATTTATATAGAATAAATTTTGACGAAGTTTATATTGTTGCTCGGGTAAAGGAGTTTGGCTTGAGCCCAAAATTTGCAGGAGTCTTTAAGACTCTCATAATTATGTCTAGGTTGATGGAGATCCAAGGTGGAGTTTAATTCTATGCGGTTGGAGGCAAGCTAGTAATTTATCTAAAGGAGAAAGGAGAAGAGAGTTGTTCTTCATCTTCAATTAGGCTAAGGTGAGGGTGATATTTGCGAATATATAGTAACCTCTTTCCTTATATACTCTTCGATAGTTACCGAGTATAGGCTCGAGAATTATACATGAAATGCATTAGTGACATGATTTGATATCATGCTTAACATACATTAAATTATAAAACTGATAATATATAGGTATATGAGAAGAGAAAACTAAAGAGTATGTGAAGGATACTTGAGGAAGTTGGACTGTTATGGACCGACGGGTTCATCTACTTGTCATTAAGTGCTGTCGAGCAATGAGGAGAAGGCTCGAGCTACGGGCCGTGGTCTTCCATAAGTAGGCTTGAGTAGCCATGAGTTAAAAGAAACTCGAGTATCCATAAGTTAAAATACATAAAACTAGAAATGAATGTAAAATATCTTGTCGTGAGCAAGACGAATGCATGTTTGTTTGATTGATAGACATTCTGAATCTATACTAACTAATGGTTGTTGATTATATTTGGAACGTTTTTACTGTATGTCCACTGGGAAGAGTTGATATGTTCACTGAGTAAACTTGTTTTACTCACCCCTTTTTTTTCCTTTTTTTCCTCCAGGTTAGTAAGTTTCAAAAGTTACGGGTTGAAGTTTGTTCGTTGGTGACTTTTAAAGAAATAAACGTTTTGGTAAGACTGGATGAATAACATACAGTCCTATCCTTTATGGCGTGACGGGTGTTACATTCAATCCATGGCCTAGAATAACATGACGACTTTTCCATCATACTAGAACCACGAGCCCACTAGCCCACCAAAATAGAACCACTAGCCCATCACTTTAACTTCTTGATTTTATAATTATAGATATTCTTAGTCTAATGGTCACATATCACTTCAAAGTCCTTTTTAGGGGAACAAAAAGATCTTGTGCCAATTAACCTTTGTGACTACCAGTCAACTTAGTCTTCAGAAACCTTTTAATCACTCTTTCTGATATATTGTTCACATTTTTGTTATCTTGATACAATGTAAAAGATAGTCATTTTATATATGAAAGTTGTAGTGGAAGAGAGAGAGATGGAGCCCACATTTGAAGCCCACTGTAATGGGCCAAAACATTTGAATTCATATAATTATCAATATTCATGTAAATTCTTACCAATGTAGAGCCCACAACAAAAACGATTTTACTCGATTTTTTTTAGTGATAAAATACAACGTTATAGTATCTTGAAACTCGTGTTTAAACGACACTACTTCAATCAATCTAATTCTTTTGTTTTTTAGCCAAACTTACGGATTGACTATCGGCTTTTGGATCAAATACTAGTTGAAACAAATATTAGTTAAATGGTGCAAGATTAACTTATAATTTTTGTATGAATTTGTATTGCCCATTCATTCATATGCACATATTACTATGGTTGTCTATAATTCACATATAAATTGACCGTTTATTTGAAAATACTATGTAATTTTCCACCGACTTAAGTTCTACACCAATGACACTTGGAACCATACACGAACCACTTTAAATTAGGTAGTGCTTGGAACAATACACGAACCACTTTAAATAAGGTAGTGTGGCACAAAGAGGTCCGGTTTGCTCAAGCCACACCGAAATACTCCGTCTATATTTGGTTAGCAGTTCAATATAGGCTTTCAACAGGTGGAATATGTTTTTTCGTGTGTGTCAAAAGTGCATAGAAACTCGAGATAACTTATTCTTCTCATGCAGGTTTATCTCGAAAATCTAGGCTGCTCTCACTGACGGTCTATTCAAAGCAAGATACTCAACTGATTGGTCTACTCGTATAACTTATGTTTCAGAGCATCAACAGAATCAAGTAGAAGGATACTTGGCTCGATATGTCCTCCAAGCTACGGTCTATGCGATCAGGAGGAAGCAAAATGGACGAAGACATGATGAAAAATATAACTAAGGAACTCAAATCACCAAGTGGATTGACAAGCAAGTTCGAAATCATCTTACAATAATTAAAAGTATGGGCGATAGGCGATAGGCGATATGATGAGGGTTTCCAAATTTGACTCAAAACATAGATTTTTTATATGATAGTCAAAATATAACTTTGTCTTATTTATCTCAACAAACCGTTGTACTAATTGTAAAAACATTATTTTTTTCTTTTAATATAATTAAACATTGCATTTAATAAAAAGTCTGCAATCACTACAAGAAAACAGTCGTTTTACGACTACGACAATAGTCACTACTTAGTCGTAAAACTGGATAATACGACTAGATTACGACTAATACCCATAGTCGTAAATATTTAGTCGCTAAAATAAATAGTCGTAAATTTAGTCGCCTTTTAACGACAAACATACGACTAATATATATGAGTCATATATTAGTCACTCATTAGTCGTAACATTTGATGACTATTTGGCGACTATGTTACGATTAATCAACACTCATATAAGGTCTGTTTAGTGCAGTCGTATACATAGTCGTTAATTTGTAGTGACTAAATGGCGTCTATTTTACGACTATAAATGCGACTATTGTAAGACAGTCATTACTTAGTCGTTAATAAAAGCGACTATATTGCGACTAATATACGACTTTTTTATGACTAATTGGCGACTATTGTTGCGACTAATATAAGAATTTGGCATTTCGGATTTTGTTTTCAAATTGTTTGGATTCCGATTTTGTTTCATTTCTGATTTTGTTTTGTAATTGTTTGGATTCCGATTTTGTTTCATTTCTAAGTTTGATTCCATAACCCAAACAACATTAATCTAAAACCAAATAAAAAAAAAAAGAACTCCAAATCAAATAAAAGCCAAAACACATACAAAAGTACATCATTCACTATCAAAGTACACATACACACCATTCACAATCAAAGACACTTATCAAAAACTGAGAGAGTGATAAAGTTTTTGTTCATGATAAAAGAGAGATGAAAAGGAGAAACCTATGGATCATTTTGAGGAAGAGGCGAGAGAGGGTCTGTGGTTTCTTGAGGAGCTGAATGAGTGGCCATGAAGTCCAGGAAGTGCGGATTGGTTTGCCGCAGATACTTCTCTACCAAAGACAAGTGCGCGAGCTTCTCCTTTTGCTCAGCCGCCACTCGGGTTTGCTCAGCTTTACGGGCAGCTTCCTCAAGATCTCTCTTTTCATTATATGCTGCCTGCTCTTCTATCTTGCGTTGAGCTTCCTTCGGCTGTTCTTGCAGATCCAGAAAGGATATAGATGAAGATGAAGACTGTCCATAGCGCTTGCGCTTGCCAAGAGTCTCTTTGAAGCTTCCAATTCCATACGGAATTCCTCTAGAATCTATCTCAATGGACTGTAAAAAAGTAAGAGAACTACGAAATAGTTTCAATCAAACTATTACCACTTAAAAAAATCGAGTAACATCGTTTTTGTTGTGGGCTCTACATTGGTAAGAATTTACATGAATATTGATAAGTTACTCAGATGTCATACAAATTAGGTGAAATGACCAGAAACATACAGATCTTTTTTTTATTACTATCATATTTCGGGTATATTTTATACCCAGCGTGCCCCTGTTAAACGTTACAGGAATAAACGTAATTACAAAAAATGCCACTGCCACGTCAGCAAAGCCGCGTCGCCACGTCAGAAATCGCTGACGTGTATTAATGAACTCAGCCGTAAAGAGATACAGTGGCAGTGACGGCTAAGTTACGGTATGTTGCGGCTGATTTAAGAAAAATGGCTGAGTTATGAGCAAACGACTGACTTACGAGTATAACCCAGCCTAGAGTTACGACTGACTTACTGAAATCTGTCTAAGTTATGAGAAAATTGCTGACATTCGAGCATAACCCAGCCTAAGTTACGGCTGAGTTTTCACCCGATGGTTGATTTGTCAAATTTTTGGCTGGGTTATTGCTTCGACACGGTTGACTTAACTTTCTCCGGCTAGCTGAGTTATCAAATACAGCTTAGTTATAGGATTACGTTACGGCTGATTTATGTTCAAGTGTCATAAATCAGCCGTAATGAGCTGGATTAACGGAAAACTCGGCCTCATTACGGCTGACTTAGTAGCGAAAGATTAATTACTAGAATAGCATGCAATGACGGCCGACTTATTAAACGTTACGGCTGAGTTGAGTTACAACATTAAACGGCTGAATTTGGCTGCCGTTTTTTCCTTTTTTAATTACTGTAATAGTATTCATGTTGCGACTGAGTTAAAGTTTTGTTTGATGGCTGGTTTAATTAGGCTGATTTACATTTTCGTTTGATGGCTTACTTGCCACTTCATCAATTAAAATATGACGTGGATGCAACATTCCATGTCATCATCATCAAAGGACAAAAAAATAGGGCCAAATTTTTTCAACTCGTCTTCTTCACCTGAGTTTTTCACATCACCGGAACTTCCAATTCTTCATCGTCTTCCTCATTCTTCTTCAATTTCTTTCATCCTTCTCCCGATATGGTTGATCCTGTTCCGGTAATTGTTGTTTTCGGTAATTGGGTATAGAAACACAAATATGTATTTAACACCGATGAAAGAGGGTGTAGAGTTGTGCAGATAGATGCGGAAACAACGCACGAAAAACTTGTGAAGTTTGTGGTCGATGATAAAGTTAGACGAAATGTTGCGTCTCTTATTGTTTTGCGGCAAATTTACATGTCACGGATGTGTTATATGCTTAAGGGAAGATGAAAGGTTCGGTCAATTTACATGTTACGGCTGAGTTATATGTTCCAGGGAAGACGAAAGATTCGGTAAAATTACATTACGGCTAAGTTATATGCTTAAGGAAATACGAAAGGTTCAGTCAATTTACATGTCACGGCTGAGTTATATGTTCTAGGGAAGACGAAAGGTTCGGTAAAATTACATTACGGCTGAGTTATATGTTTAAGGGAAGACGAAAGGTTCGGTAAATTTACATGTCACGACTGAGTTATATTCTCCAGAGAAGATGAAAGATGGGTGTATATTATGTTACAGCTGAGTTATATGCTTCAGGGAAGACAAAAGGTTCGGTAAATTACATATCACGACTGAGTTATCATTTAGGGAAGACGAAAGGTTGTGTAAATTATATGTTACGGCTGAGTTATATCATGGGAAGAAGAAAGGTTGTGTAAATTATATGTTACGGTTGAGTTACATCACGTTACGGCTGAGTTACATCACTTTACGGCTGATTTATAATACAGATCGGAAAGCAACATTTTTTTGGAGAAGACAATATGAAATTTATTTGTCAAATAACAACAATCAAATTAAGAAACGTAAAAATATGTTCGAGGGATACATAGGAGGAAGACTAAACCGTATGAATCAAAACATAGATAGAAGTAGAAATGTCTCCAAATAGATCGATTGAGAGGAAGATTAAACGAGAGACATGTAAAATCAAAGTAAAAGAGTAGCTATTCTTGATTTTAACTCAAACCTGTAACGAATCATGTAGAATTCCATAGATCTCTTTGATTTGGGTTTTGATTTTTGATGACTTTTTTCGTGAGCGAGGTTGCGAGTAGATCTGATGAAGCTTTTGATTTGGAACCCTATAGCAAGCGTTGTGGCTGTGGGGTCTAGGAAGATCCAGCCCAATCCTGCAATTTGAAGATCTCTGTAAATGTTGTACCCAAGTTAGTTGCAGATTATTTGATCTAAAAGATTTTTTGGATTTGGAAACAAAAAAAGAGAAGAGGGGAAATAAAATAAGTTTGAGGAGCGTGAGATTGGTGATGTGGATTAATGACATGGATAATCAAATTTTTATTTATTATTTTTAATTAAAAACGAATTAAAATTTATTAGTTAAAAAAACTAATGAAGGGTGTTAACTATAATTACACAAATGCTCAAAACATATGAGTAATTTTTAAAAGATATATGATAGTCTAATAATAAACATACTTTTCTATAACATCTGAGTAAATTTAATTATATGAATTAAAATGTTTTGGCCCATTACAGTGGACTTCTAATGTGGGCTCTATCTCTCTCTCTTCCACTACAACTTTCATATATAAAATGACTACCTTTTACCTTGTATCAATCAAGAAGTTTCGCTAACAAAACTGTGAACAATATATCAGAAAGAGTGATTAAAAGGTTTCTGAAGACTAAGTTGACTGGTAGTCACTAACGTTAACTGGCACAAGATCTTTTTATTCCCCTAAAAAAGACTTTGAAGTGATATGTGACCATTAGACTAAGAATATATATAATTATAAAATCAAGAAGTTGAAGTGATGGGCTAGTGGTTCTACTTTGGTGGGCTAGTGGCTCGTGGTTCTAGTATGATGGAAAAGTCGTCATGTTGTTCTAGGCAATGGATTGAATGTAATACCCGTCACGCCACAAAGGATAGGACTGTATATTATTCATCCATTCTTACCAAAACGTTTATTTCTTTAAAATTCACCAACGAACAAACTTCAACCCACAATTTTTGAAACTTACTAACTTGGAGAAAAAGAGAAAAAAAAAAAAAAAAGGGTGAGTAAAACAAGTTTACTCAGTGAGCAGATCAACTCTGCCCAGTAGACATATAGTAAAAACATTCCAAATATAATCAATAACCATTACTTAGCATAGATTCATAATGTCTATCAATCAAACAAAGATGCATTTGTCTTGCTCACAACAAGATATAGTATTTTACTTTCTTTTTAAATTTTAAGTATTTTAACTTATGGATACTCGAGCCTCTTTTAACTCATGGCTACTCAAGCTTACTTATGGAAGGCTACTCAAGCCTACTTATGGAAGACCATGGCCCGTAGCTCGATCTTTCCCCTTATTGCTCGACAGCACTTAATGACATGTATATGAACTCGTCGGTCCATTACAGTCCAAACTCCTCAAGTATCCTTCACATACTCTTTAGTTTTCTCTTCTTATATACTTATATATAATCATTTTTATAATTTAATGTATGTTAAGCATGACATCAAACCATGTCACTAATGCATTTTATGTATCATGTTACTAACGACCTAACTGTATCATGCACACAAATTCACATAAATAACCAAAGATAATTCTCGAGCCTATACTCGGTAACTATCGAAGAGTATATAAGGAAAGAGGTTACTGCATATCCGCAAATACCACTCTAACCTTAGCCTAATTGAAGATGAAGAACAACTCTCTTCTACTTTCTCCTTTAGACAAATTACTAGCTTGCCTCCAACCGCATACTATTAAACTCCACCTTGGATCTCCATCAACCTAGACATAATTATGAGAGTCTTAAAGACTCCTGCAAATTTTGGGCTCAAGCCAAGCTCGTTTACCCGAGCAACAATATAAACTTTGTCACAATTTTTTCTATGTAAATCTATCTTGGAAACATACACATAAGTCAAATTCTAACCGTTAGAAACTTAATCTCACCGTTGAATATGCAGCCAGTAGTATCATGAAGATCTACAGCAATTTCCAGTCATAGCGAACATTAGATGAACCGCCCACTGTAACATCCCGACCCCAAATTTGGGAGGTGGTGTCGGTCGACACCAATAATTTCTGGTTTGACATGTTCATTTTAAATCACCGGTTTAGTCATGAAGTGATTTGGAAAACCCTAGGTCTCATTTTAATAACGTTACAACCTCCTTTCTCTCCATTCTTTGAGTGTTTTGTCGTTCTAGAAAAGAGAGAAAGAGAGAGTTGGCTTTGTGGTTGACCTAGAGAGAAAAGAGAAGGGTTTGAGTGAGTTAAGGAGAGAAGAAAAGCTTGTTTTTGGTGTTAGCAAGAGGAGGAGGAGCAGATCAGCGGCTGTGGGTTGAGAGAAGGTTGTTGGAGTGCTAGATTCTTCTGTTCTTTCTCTCAAATCAATCCTAAATCGAGGTGAGTGCGTGACCATGGCTTATCTAAGCAAGTTGGGAAGTTTTGATGCTTTGTTTGAGTCTATAGGTTGACTGGGAATGATTTGAGGTGTGATTGTTGGTTGATATGAACATGTATGCTTGTATTTGTGCCTTGGGACGTGGGAGACTCGACGTGGGCAGCAGAAAGCCGAATCGGGAGAGGCGAGGTGCATTTTTCAGGTCTGCTGCAGCGTCGGTGTCTAGTGACGATCGACACCAGGAGGGTGTCGGTCGACACAAGGTATGGCTGGGAGCTTTTAAGCTTCCTGAAATTGCCTGGTTTCATTTGTTGATTGGTTTTGTTTAGTGTCTTGATTTTTCTATCTTGCTTGTGTATATAGCCTGTTGATGGGAATATCGTCTCACTAAGTATTTGTGATAATACTTATGCAGCTCTTTCTTTATGGTGCAGGTAAAGAAAAAGTGTGACGTGGAATCATGGCAAGGAAGAGAGGATGATCTAGGAACTCGTTTGGTTGCGTTTTATTATGTTGTTGGAACCTGTTTTTAGAACTATACTAGGATTGATGGATAGTTCTGGATATGTTTGTTTGATTATTTATTTATAAGAAATTGCATTTGTACTTGTTGGTTGCTGTTGTTTATTGGTTGATTTAATTAAGTATTTATGGGGATATTTAATTATGTTAAAAAAAAAAGGTTCGGGGCTTCACACCAACGTTCTCCTGAATATGCTGCGTCAGATCTGTTTTCTATGGTCCTATGCTTACCAGTTTTTGACAAAATAACAAATTTCTTACGCGGAAAGCAATGCAAATAACTTATGTAATATAATCCCGATTCAAACTCTGTCGGTTGCTGTGGATTTATGGCAACAAGATCTTTCGAGAGACTTCTTACTCGTCATCTGATTCTCTTTGGTATGACGAGAATTCTCCCTTCAAAACACCCTCTTGAAACTGGTCTTCCTCCTTCCACTTTTCCCTTCTTCTTGCTTCTTGCTTCTTTTTCTTCCCTTCAACTGATCTCCATACCACCATCTCTACTAGGCTACAAAATAGACTCATCAGTGCTTTGCCGGCATTGTGGAATAATCTCATCTCCATTGCCATTGGTTCCAGGGTTGAACGGTTAACATATGTGATGTCTCCTCCATCTCCGTTTCCAATGTCTCCGTCACAACCAATTTCTTCCCATGCTTGTCTTATTCGCCGACCAAGGCAACGTGGTCGCTGAGAAAACACAACACGATTAGTGGTGAAAGAGACATGAACAAGACGATAACGGCGATAGCAAAGACTCATGAAAATTATTTCTCTTTATTTATTTCTCTCGGCAAAAGCGGCAAGGGTTTACTTATCTTAACGGAGAGAGAGATGCTTACATATTTACATATACATGTGTCAACAATGACTAGGCCTTGACGTTTTTGTGGCTTACCAATCACATGGACTTAATCCTAATGTTAAAACAAAAAAACCCACAATTGTGGGAGAGGGTTGTTACAATTCTCCCTAAAACGCAGAATTGCTCAGCTTTATCTCTTTGGTCACGCGGGTATAGGCCCATTGCTTCGGGGCCTTTTAAAAATCTGGGAGAACCCTACCTACGGGACACCCTTTCTTCAAGAATTAGTCCTATGCCCCTCCCACATCCTTTTGTAAACGTATTAGTGACATGAGCTTATGAGAGAAATTAATAGCAGCATTATTTTCTTGAACTCTAAATCTTGAAACCATACATTATTCTTCATTTCTGATATTTGTAAACTCTCATCTCTATATATAGGTCTATGTAAGAGCTTCTAAATACCGTTGTCCTATTACATAATTTAAATTACATATTTTAAACAAAAAATAGAAGAGCTTCTAAACTATGAGGATAGTTCTATATGATATCAGTTTAACACTCCGGTTTCAGGAATATGGTGGTACATGCGCAGAGATTTAAAATAATTGATTTGGCCACCTATGTCACCAAAGGGCACTTATCTTTTCGGTCGACTGTCCTGAGAGAACTCCACAGTTAAGGGTGCTTGAGCTGGAGCAATTTCAGGATGGTGACCTTCCGATAAGTGTTTGTCGGAACTGTGTGAGTGAGGACAAAACACAGGGAAAGATTATGTGGTGATTTGTAGGGTCGGTAACAACTCTTTAAAGGTTCTCGGACATAGCGTACCGACCGTCGGAAGATGGTGGGATTACGGGCTGAAAGAGGACGTGTGGCCCATTAAAAGAGATGATAGTCGGGGCTTTATAAATGGTATTTGAGCCAAACCCAGGCGACTGTGGAGTCAAGAGGGCTTACACCGTCGGGGTGACGGACTTGGTCCGCAACGAGGACATTGCGATCTATTAGTGGGGGTGAATTGTAGCACTCTGGTTTCAGGAATATGGTGGTGCATGGGGAGAGGTCTAAAAGAATTAGTTTGGCCACCTATGTCATCAAAAGGCACTTATCTTTTTGGTCAACTGTCCTGAGAGAACTCTACAGTTAAGGGTGCTTCAGATGAAACAATTTCAGGATAGGTGACCTTCTGGAAGCTATTGTCGGAACTGTGTGAGTGAGGACAAAACACAGGGAAAGATCATGTGGTGATTTGTAGCTTCGATAACCAAGTTTTAAAGTCTCACGTACGTATCAGATACGGATGGCCCACGGACTCGAAAGAGGACGTGAGGCCCATTAAAAGAGGCGTGGTGGTCGGAGCGTTACAATCAGAGTTGCTATGATTAATCACTATCTCACATTTTCTTGTCCTTCTTTTCGTTACGTCAAATTCATGTCTGCTACTCAACGTAACACCTCAGATGCTCTGTCCAACCTATACATGCCCAAAAAAAATCCCCTGCTCATTGTTAATATGTTGAATACGAACGAATTAGCATCTTCAAATTACATCACATGGCCTGGTCTACATGTTTCTCGATGGTCATGACCAACCTTTCCTCTACTATATATGAAGTATTACCACTTGTTAAAACCAATATTGGAATTTTTTTGTCAATCTTTTTTATTGTTCCAACCTGTTTTGTTTTAAGGAGATTGTATAGTAAGCTCTCTGCAAATAGAAAGAAACAGAATAATAACCAAATTGAAAACCCCAATTATCCCCAGATCGATTATCCCCAAATCGAAATCCTAATTTGAAACCCAAATTGAAACCCTAACAATCTAACATACCTTTGACCGTGACAAAATAAGCCGAAATCTTCCTGCAAACAAAGGTAATAATCGACTGGAATCAATTACAACTTTTAAAAACCCTAAATCGAGACGAAATTTCACACAAGTACCGTTTATAGTTAGAGAGATGCAACACCAATCGAGTAGATCCCGTAAACACAAAGAGCTTGAATCGAATGATATGAGAGATTGTAAGAGAGCTTGAATCGAGTGAGAGATTGAATCGAGTGAGAGAGTGAGAGAGTGAATCGAGCGAGACAATGTAAGAGAGCTTGTTTTGAGTTCTCTGAGCTATACTTAAGAAAATATCGAGACTTTCAGAGGGAAAAGGAAATTTAGTTTCGGTTCAAGGCCAATTATTTTTAGGTTTTCCCGGTTCACTTTTAATAGCGTTTCCTGATAATTCTGCTATTAAAAACTATGCTATAAATACTTAGAAACCCAAATTATTAGGCGCATGTTTATATTTTTATCTGTTAAGAGTATTAATAGCGTTTCCAAAACTACAAACGCTATCTTAAACTCGTCCTATAACTTATAATAGCATTTGTGAACAAAACGCTATAGTATTGTGCTATTAAAAGCCAATATTCTTATAGTGTAGCTTCGATAACCAAGTTTTAAAGTCTCACGTACGTATCAGATACGGATGGCCCACGGACCCGAAAGAGGACGTGAGGCCCATTAAAAGAGGCGTGGTGGTCGGAGCGTTACAATCAGAGTTGCTATGATTAATCACTATCTCACATTTTCTTGTCCTTCTTTTCGTTACGTCAAATTCATGTCTGCTACTCAACGTAACACCTCAGATGCTCTGTCCAACCTATACATGCCCAAAAAAAATCCCCTGCTCATTGTTAATATGTTGAATACGAACGAATTAGCATCTTCAAATTACATCACATGGCCTGGTCTACATGTTTCTCGATGGTCATGACCAACCTTTCCTCTACTATATATGAAGTATTACCACTTGTTAAAACCAATATTGGAATTTTTTTGTCAATCTTTTTTATTGTTCCAACCTGTTTTGTTTTAAGGAATCTTTTTCCCTTTGTTAAAGGATTTAAAGAATCTTCAATACGTTCACATTTTGAAAAAGCTTAATGACATGAGATTGAAAGGAAACTTAATTACGTAAAGAGATGTTTTGCATCTTGCACAACATACACGGAAATATGTTAAAGAAAACGAAGTTTAATTAAGCACACAATATAATACAAGTACGAGACTTAAAAATCCCTAAACAAAAACGACCATCACAACAACGTTGTACACGCGGGAGCGTACTCATAGATTTCAACACGTAACCATGATTGTGATGCTTTTAGATACTAGAATCTCTACTCTTGTTTTCATGCTTTCAATGTTTTAATTTGTGTGATTCCTTATCTCATAGTTTATTAATTATGATCTCTGCCGCTAGTTGGTTGTGACAGTAATAGCTAGTGTAATATTGATATCTTATTATTACTAATAACTGTGCGTATTCATGTTTTAGAATAAAGAAAAAACATTATGCATGTAAGAAAGTGAGCAGTTATTAGTTCTATTCGATAAACTCATTGAAACAAAAGGTGTAATTGTTAGGTAGTCTAGCGGTTAAATGGTGTAGGCGGGGATTAACCGGTGCTTACGGGGTAAAAAAGATTTTTAGGTTCTTATAAATATCTACAATACATGAATAAAATTGACGATACTGTCAAAATGTTAAAGTAGCAAAATGGTTTGAGAATCTAACTAGATTTGAACTAGCCCTAGGATTGATTATCGTAGGGTGCATTTGCTATTTTCGAAACATAAATGTGAAGGATAAAATCATACATCTTTATTACTTTTTTAGGGATAAAATCATACATCTTTATTACTTTTTTAGGGATAAAGACAAGAACCATACTAAATATTATTATAATTATAGATCGCGAGAATTACCACAGTCTATTGGTTCATTTTGTATGAAACAATGGACAAATACTATGATAAAGTAACCAATTTCTTGAATATCATTAGTTTTAGTTATAAAAAATTGTGGTACTGGCTTCATTGTTGACAACTCATCATAAATACAATTATTCATATCTCCCATCGTTTGAGCTACCATAAATTTGAAGTTGTAATAGTCTTTGGCAGCCAAATATTTGAGGGCATAAGGACATTTGTCGAGAGCATCTTTATATAATTCTTTACATAAGCGATATTCAGAATCAATATCCGGTATATAGCCTCCTGATAATTTAAATTGCTTCAGCGTATCCGAAATATTTTGAGCATGATAATTGATCAAATATTTGGCGAGACCAAAAAAATCTAGTTTAGCAATTTCAGGAGTTGCTTTTAGAACCTCAAAACACAATGAAGATTTGACACCTGCTTTGGTGCATAAGGTGCGGATCTCATCTGTTGTAACCATGGTACTAAACTTTGCATATGATGAGACAACAAAAAGAAGTAAAACCAGTAAACAAGCTGGTGAAAAGTTTTTATCGACATAAGCAACCATTTTTCTTGTTCTATGTTTTTTTGGAACTTAAGTGAGATTTATATAGGCTATAAAATATCTTCAAAATTAAATACTAATAGATTATATACCATACTAAAATGATTTAATTTATTAGCAATATGTCAAACTGTTCAATATTTTTTTTGTTGATTAGTTGACCATTTTAATTAGTAAGAAAATAATTTAGTTTTGATTTGAACAGCATTATGACAACACATTAGATAATTTTCCTTTCTTTAGATTTGAAATATGTAGCACATGGTATATTGGTATTGTTACCAACTGACTGAGATCTAAACTTCTTATTATCCCATTAACTATCTATATTATAGATTTTATTTTTTGGTAGTTTAGAGGTAGAGGAATAATAGACGAATAATAGAGAATTTGGCAGATACTTTTTTGTTAAGTACGTTAACTCATACATAATAAATTAGCATAAGAAGACAATATAATCATAGTCCTTTTCGTACGGAACTCTGCTTGCTTTCAGCCACAATTCTCCAAGTAATAGCTTGCTTTTTTTTTTTTTTTTTTTTTTTTTTTTGTGCAAACCAAGTAATAGCTTGCTAACAGTGAATTTTGCTTCCTCTTTAGGATCCGTAATAACTCTAACCATGTCCAGTTTACCCTTTTGCTAGTCCCATCTCCTGGACCCTTGTCTTAAAATATAAGTTCACCACATGACAAATGGTTCGAAATACTACCTTCAAAGGAAGTAAGTAATGAATGGTCATGTACCTATGAAAACTAGGCATAGAACTCAAAACCTTTATATCATTGACCCGAATCACCATCCTTTCTTTGTTGGTCCATGGTTTGTTTGAGAAATACATGTATGCTATCTCCGGCATTATCTCATTTTAATAGATTTTTCATTAAAGAACTCACATGATAAATCATCTCTTTCTGTCTACCAGCCCGAACAGCCATTGATACTAGCATCGCATTGACTACCATGTCTGCAAGAATCTAGTCCATCAAATAATTATAAAACAATTCAGTAATATATTTATGCAGTTTCTCTATGCGGACACTATAATCTTATACAAAAAATCACAAATGTGTATGTAGAAAGATGAAAGTAGATACGACATCTGAAATAGCGTTAAGATCACCAAGGAAACATGTGAGTTTTGCTGTACCATACCCAACAACTACACTATCCACAGTCCTATATATAAATTAAAGTGTTGTTACTTCACTAGTTAATAATTTGATATTAGTCAGTTAATTTTTTTTTCATATTTTACCTGATTTTCTCGGTCCAACCTGAGAATGGTTCTTTGAAAGTGCTGGTAATAGTCGAAGGACGAATTATCACCACCGACATATTTTACCTTTTTGCACCTACCAACATTTCTCCCATTGCTTTCGTGAACACGTATGTGTTTGGCCATCCGTACATTTTTGCCCTATTTTATATTCAAGAAATTATGAATTTTAATAGATGAAGTAGATAGCAACACTAAAATGTAACTAGGGATCACCTAGTGAGTCCGAAATCCTTCATAGCTTGTGTGATGGTCTCGGTCAAGGCTCCGGTGGCTTGAAGCTGGCTAAGTTTTTTCAAGAAAATTAATTATTTGTCAATTTTGTGTGAGTATGTGTGTATACATGTGGAAACATGAACAAAGACTTAAACTTTAGGATATCTCTTGGCAAAATTCGGGGCTTTGGTAGATCCCAATGTGTTGATCCCAAGTGGTACATATGTGATTAATTTAACATTTTTTAAGTTTCACATTGTTAGAAATTCACTTATAATTTATTTTTTCTTTTCTTAAATTTTGATAAGAATAAAATTTGGTTATAATAGTATTAATTTACTTGGTGGACCATCTGATGTTCCAACTCGGAGTCTTGATGATGAAGGCCCAAATCATCAAGGAAAATGTCTCCATTCACAATAGTGATCACATACTTTTTCTTCACCACATCAAAACAAGTCCTTTCCCAAAATCTACAGACATTTGGAACAATTCAAGGTTATAACATTTCTATTAATTAGCATCGCTCTAAGATCGATACTTATATTTATTTACAATATTTGGACATAAGCTCCTAAAAACTCGAAGTATCATTTTCAATATTCATACTGAAGCAATATTATTTAAATGTAGGTACATTACAATTTTAAAATATTTCTAGCAATATTTAATTTTGAATAACAAGGTGTTTGGTCTAGTTAATCAAAGTAATTAGCAAATTGTAGTAAAAAGTGGATATTAAACCTCTTTGTTGAACCTCTCAGTAGCAGATTTTTCGTCTGATGCTCTAAGAAGAAGATATAGTTTCCTCAAGTTTGGTGCAACCTTAGTATCTTCTCCACAAAAACTGCATACAAGTTAAAAGAAAGCTAACATAAAAGTTAAGAACAACTAACAATACTTATTACAAATTTCAAAAGAAAAAAAAAAACAATATTTATTTGAAGTTTAGTGTATATCTTCTTGATAAACAAAAAAGTTTTTATTTTATTTTTGAACACATGTCGATCCAGCTGCTTCAATGTCAAGAACCATTAATAAAATGCTGATATTGCTTTCATCCTCTTTATGAAATTGACTCTCGTATAATTAATTCAAAGGATTTGTTAGCAAATACCCCTTGTAAAAAATTAAAACTAATTAATGGACGTTACAAAATTTTAAGAAGCGTTATTGCCAATATATCTAAAGACAATTATACAGAGAGATATAGATCAGTACTCTTTCCTAAGAAGCCAGTAGCTCCGATCACCAATATAGATTTGTTGTCAAGATACTGAAGGTCACTTACGATCTCCAGTCCACATTGTATGCGTTTTTAGTGAGAAAATAATAGGACAACTAAATTATGTGGAGAGGTCGAGATTTATAATCGTGTATGTCTTCTTTATAAAGGCAAACACTAACGTCATAAAAACTTTTAAAAACTTCTCATAAAACTAAGAAAATACAACAAAGAAATGCCAAAAAAAAAACCCCGTTAACTCATAAGAGCCACATAAATCCAAAGGAGCACACACTGCACAGACCACCGATCACTCGAAGAGAGGGCCACTGCTTAAAACTCAACCGGCTTTCTCCACCTAGCTTCGCCGCTTTCCTCAGCATTACCGATGTCTTAGATAAGGACAGAAGTCTAAAAAGCCACGTCTCAAAGAGGATTTAGTGATATAGGTAAAGAGATGCCGAAACAAGGGACGAATCCACCTTCTTGAAAGCTTTGATACCGGAAAAAGGAGAAGTAGAGTCTGCTACGGCAAGGCAGAGACTCGAAAATATGAAATTTATGTGAACAAAGATTACATTAAATGAATTTTGTTGCAAAAATATAACGCCCGACCGTCCTTAGAGCATCTCCAAAGGAGACCTCAAATCTTCAAATATAAGGTTTTTTGTTCTCCAAAGGCAACCTCAAAACCTTAAATTTTAAGGTTTTGAATAGTGAAACCTCATATTTGAGGTCTCACTATTCAAAACCTCAAATTTGAGGTTTCATCTTTTTTATTTGCATTTTGGTCCTCACAATTATTTCTATCTTATAAATACTTTGACTAATTTGTTATTTTAACATATTAAGCCTTAAAATTTTATGGCAATAAACGAAAGTACTTGATTTCAATATTTATTATCTCACAATCTACAAATAAAAAATAAAGAGACTCATCTAGCTCTTCAAAATGCATAGATTGATCATATATGGAAGCATTACGGAAATAATTAGGTTCAATAATTTGGTAATTTAGCTTTATTTTATGATTTTGTTTGTGTTTTTTATTATTGTTTTGTGCAATTCTATTTTATAACGTAATATCTAACTAATTAATATTGCTTGTAATATTTTTAATATGTGTTTTATTGTTATTTATAAAAATCTTAGTTTTATGTAATTATAATCAATAGCAAGGACTATTATGCAAAATACAATTTTTTTTGAAGTTAAATTTGTGGTTTTCTTTTGGAGAGACATAACCCTAAACCTCACAACCTCAAATTTGAGATCCCTTTGGAGATGCTCATACAAGTGAGCACCCATGTCCTCTCTCAGATATGTGGGTCTCACTCCTATGCGAAGGTTTATCTGTCATGTCCGGGAGGCTTTAAAGACTTTTTACGGATCCTACAAATTACCACACGATCTTTTCATGTGTTTTATCTTTACTCACATAGTTCCGATTATCACTTTCCGGAAGGTCACCCATCCTGAAACTTTCTCAGCTCAAGCACGCTTAACTGTAGAGTTCTCTCAGGACAGTTGACCAAAAATGTAAGTGTACTTTGGTGATATAGGTGGTGGTGAGAAGAAGAGAGAGGGTTGATTTCGGTTTGGGTGTGGGGAAGAAGAGAAAGAAAGTGAAGGGAAGATGGAGATAAAAGCAGTTGGATGGGCGAATTTTGAAGGCTTGCCAATTTATGGAGTCGTTCATGGTATTGCGGGCTAGATAATCAACGGTGGGATTTCGTTTTTACGGTTTGTTCTTGTTATTATTATATGTTTCCGAGACAGTTTGGCATAGAGAAAACAATGGCAAGTTGTATTGTTGGTTGGGAAAATGAGCTCGGTTTGAGTTGAACCTTGTAGAAACTTCCATGTATTATGGAGTTAGGTCCTGGTTGTTGGAGAACCATTATGGAGCTCAAGAGTGTGTGGTTAAAGTTAAGATGGTGAATTAGATGGTTCATCGGAAAAGCGTTCCCCTTGGCTGGACGGAATGGGGTATATATTTCAGGGATTACTTTCGCTAGGCGGAAAGTAATCGGGTAACTAATTTCTTTAGAAGAATAGTCACTAATCGAGGCGGATAGGGTGGGTCTAGCAATTAAACGGAGAATAATCAGATTAGGCAGAGATTTTTTGAACAGAGATTCTTACCACTCAAGAGAAAATATCAAAAGATGTAGTCTAATGTAATCTTTGTCCATAAATTTGAAGTAGTTGTGGATGCCCACAAAACGTCGATTGATCTTTAAGCATTTAATAACCCAAGTGTTTTATGGAACAAGAACAGTTTCATGGAACAAGAACAGTTTCAAGATTGGTTATTGTGGGCATCGTTTGGAGGTTGTAACGATGTCCGATCGAGCTGCCAATTTATGGAGTCGTTCATGGTATTGCGGGCTAGATAATCAACGGTGGGATTTCGTTTTTACGGTTTGTTCTTGTTATATTTATATGTTTCCGAGACAGTTTGGCATAGAGAAAACAATGGCAAGTTGTATTGTTGGTTGGGAAAATGAGCTCGGTTTGAGTTGAACCTTGCAGAAGCTTCCATGTATTATGGAGTTAGGTCCTGGTTGTTGGAGAACCATTATGGAGCTCAAGAGTGTGTGGTTAAAGTTAAGATGGTGAATTAGATGGTTCATCGGAAAAGCGTTCCCCTTGGCTGGACGGAATGGGGTATATATTCCAGGGATTACTTTCGCTAGGCGGAAAGTAATCGGGTACCCAATTTCTTTAGAAGAATAGTCACTAATCGAGGCGGATAGGGTGGGTCTAGCAATTAAACGGAGAATAATCAGATTAGGCAGAGATTTTTCGAACAGAGATTCTTACCACTCAAGAGAAAATATCAAAAGATGTAGTCTAATGTAATCTTTGTCCACATAAATTTGAAGTAATTGTGGATGCCCACAAAACGTCGATTGATCTTTAAGCATTTAATAACCCAACGTTTGTACTGTAAACATAGCGGATATCCGTATCCGTATCCACGAATAACCGGAAATAGTGTTTTAAAATCCTAAATTCATTAATATCATACATAAAAAGTTTTAAAAACACACGAAAAAACACATTCCCCCGACCCCCTCCCCCACCTCCCCCCACATAAATTTGAAGTAGTTATGGATGCCCACAAAACGTCGATTGATCTTTAAGCATTTAATAACACAACGTTTGTACTGTAAACATAGCGGATATCCGGTTTTTTAAGA